GTGTTGTTTGAGCTGTCTCTGCTTCTTGAGCATTTGTAAAGGTGATTATTGCAAATTTTTTTTGGTTCCTATTTCTGTTAAATGGTATGTATACTGCTTTTGCTTTCTTATTCCTTAGACATTTTAATAAAAGCACTTCTGATGCTTCTTTAGAAATGTTTAATAATTTTACTATAAACTGACTTTGTTTCTCTCTTTGCATATAGTCTTCATTTCCTTTCATTACTCTTGCTAATTTATTGTTGCCAAGAGGTATGCCCATATGTTGTCTTTTTCTTCTCTATAATCTGCTACTATAATTGCTAGTGCTTTGTATTATGATCTTTTGATTCATATTATACACATATTTCTTATACTTTTGCACATATACTTTAGTTCTTTTTCATTAATGTCTGATAGTAAGTCTCAAATTGTTAAGAATTTTGTTGTTTCTGCTTCTTCTAGTCTTTCTGTTTGCCATATTTCTGCTTTTGTTTTAGCCTTATCTTATTTTTCTATTTTGCTTTGTTGTGTCTCTTTTTGTTTAGGTTCTTTCTATTTTGGGTTTTTAAATTTTTCTTTTTATTGTTTATTCTTTACTCTGTACTTGTTTATTGCTTTATTTTGTTCTTTCTTACTCTCTACTTGGTTTTGTATTTCGACTAAAATCAAATTAAACCATTTTTCACCTTTTCACTTTATTCAATTAATTGCTTCTTCTCTTTCTCTTTTGCAATCAAATAATACTTTGATCTAACTATTTCTTTTTACAAAGACTTCTTCAATTTTTGTGATATGTCTATTTGCATTAAGTATCCATTTTACTATGCTTGTTTTTTCTAGCTTTGTTCTACTTGGAACATTATAGGCAGGAATTTTTACTATTACTGGTATTTATTGTTGCATGGTCTATTGTCTGGTACTTAGATGTTTTGCTCTAATGGTACTTCTGTTGCATCTTCTTGCAATATCATTAATTCTTCTTCTTTATTTTTCTTCTTTTCTTCTGCTTCTACTAGGCTTGAAATATGTTGTAGAGTCTTTTCATCTCTTTTTGCTTCTTTTATATCTTGTTTCTGTACTGTATATCTTTATTTTTTATTTATTTCTATTTGTTTCTTATTTGTTTCATATTTTTTGAATTCTTCTTCATATTTTTCTCTTTCTTCATTTTCTTTTGTTTTGACTATTTCTTTTGTCTAGATTGTGTTTTTTGTTTCACTTTCTCTTTGCTGTTATAAGCTCTCTCCTATTTTAAAGCTAAAATCTATCAATTTACTTCTTTTGTCTACCCATGTGATAGCTTCACTTAATGCTCTTACTGCTATTATATCTGCTACATCTACTGTAAACAGTAATGCTATATATCTGTCTATTCTTGTTTCTATAATATCTGTTGTTTCTGGTATTTTGACTAGCTCTGCATTGCTAACTCTTTGTAAGCTTTGTGTGTTAATCTTTCTAACATCTTTTTTAATAGGCTCCTAGGTCTTACTTCATATGCATTTCCTTTTATACTAATTGTTGTTGTTTTATTTGTTAGTTGGTTTGATATAGCTGTCTTTATGTTACATGTTTGCTCTGATAGACTATTTCTGTACACATACTTGTTTGTTTATCTTACTTGTTTTGTTGTATTTTCTGTGTAACCTAATTAATTTGCACAACAGGGTCACAAAGATTCTTTAAAATTTACAAAAAATTTTTGTTTTCGTCAAAAAAACTTTTTATTTTTCTAAGCTCTACTACCTCCAAGCTTTCTTATTTGTATTTTGTTCTTTAGCTAGGTGTAACTTTTGTGGCTCTTTCTTTTTTTACTAAGGGTCTTAATGTTAATTCTTAGTGTGTTTTGCAATATTTTCTACATTTTGCTTCTTACTGATTTTTGGTTAAGAAATCTATATAATTTTCTTTATTATTAAAAAGTTACAGTACATTTACTTATTATATAGTTTATTAAATATATTTATTAAGAAATTTCTAGTTATTTTTTATTTAAATTTATTTATATAGAATAAAATGAAAATTATTAATAGAATTAATTACTTAATACAGATTTATTTATATGCAGTTTATTTGCATATAAATGAGTCTAAATTAAGTAATTGATTACTAAAATTAATTACTATATTAGAATTATCTAATTTACAGCTTATCTATATTTGAATAAATCTAATCAGTAATTATGCATTAATTTAATTTAGAGAGTTGCTATTTTCACCTCTTATTTTTGCTAATGCCACCTACCAAAATATATAAAAGTGCTCTGGAAGAAATATTATTATTAAGTAAACCTCTTTTTTAGTATTAATTAAAGTTGTTTATTAGACCTTTTTAGTTCTAATAGTAGTAAAATTATTAAAATCAAATTAGTAGTTCTTTTTTAAAAGTAGATTAAAGATTATAAATTTTAGATATAAATATTGCAAGAATCATCAGTCCAAACTTAGTAATTTTATCATTATTAGAACTGGAAAGACCTAATGAACAACTTTAATTAATACAAAAAAAGAAGTTACTTAATAATAATATCTCTTCCAGAGTACTTTTATGTATTTTGAAAGTGGCATTAGCAAAAATAGGAGGTGGAAATAGCAATTCTCTTTAATTTATTGGTTATTTTTTTGCTTTATTATTTAATATAAATAAAATACAATTTTACTAAATTACACTACTGGTGTTCAATACTAGTATCAGAAATTAAATCAGAAAATCATATGATTATATATAAATAATTATACAATAAATAAATAATAATACTAACTTATACAGTAAGGTTATAGGATGTCATTTGTATGATTGGCTAATTTATGTTGATTAAAATGTAATCACTAACCAATCAAAATTAAATTTTATAAGTAAACTTTTATTATCATTATCAAATATTTATATTTAATTTTATGTTTAAAACAATTATTTTATTTTATTTTTAGTTATTACAACTCTACTAAAGATGCACTATAGCTCTTAGTTTATATAATTAATTAGTATAATATGATACAACTTATATATACTGTATTAGTCTGCTACTAAAATATCTTAATCATGATTATAACTGCTTACTCTACAATTTAGCTTTATAATATTTAATCAATACATAAGATATATAGTAAGTATTAAGTTAATTATTATTAAAGTAAAACACAGACAAGATTTTTACATTATGTTCTTTAAGATTAAACTTACACAAAAATGTCTCAAACAGCCTCTTTAGTTAACTATTTTCAGCATTTAAACCTTATATATAATTAGTATAATAATAAATAGCTTCTAAGTAAAATGTTTGAGAATGTTGATTATTTTTTAATTATTTTGCACAATAAATATAAGTGTTCTTTTAAAGCCTTTTTGGTAATTTTTATTAGTAAAATGTTATATTTTCAAAAAGTACTTTAAACTATATAAATAAGTTATACAACCAGTAAGGTTTAAAATTATATATATATTTTAGTAAATTTTCAAATTAGGGATTCTAAGCTAAAGTCTTTAATATATAGCAACTGTGATATTAAACACTAAATTGTTAATATATAGTAACAGTTCTATGATAATCTGTATCAAATTTAATTAGTTATATGAGATTGTTTAAGCAAACCTAAGAGTTTGTTTTTCTTTTTATTCATTATTTGTATTGTAGATCAACTAACACAAAATAAAAAATTTAAATTAAACCTAATAACCTAAATTTAAGTTTTTGCTATAACAAATTTAGTCTTTGCTAATATTATATATAGGAATATTAAAAGTTTAGTTTAGTTTTATTTGGTTTTGTTTTATAAAAATTCAAGTTTTAGAAACAGTTTGAATTTAGTTTAAAAATATCATGTAAAGCTGCAATTAAGTTTGAACTTAAGTTTTAAACTTGGTTTTTATTGGCTTTTTATATATGATATAAGTATATACATATATATTATATTTCAATATAATATTGTAGTTTAGCTTTTAAAGCATATTAGTACTAATATAGATCAAAAAACCCAAGTTTCAAATTCAAGAAATGATAAACTGTTCAGGACTTAAGTCTTTCTAACTTAAGTTTTGAACTAAAGTTTGAACAAAGACTGAACTGCTAAATTAAGAAACTCATTAAGCAGTTTATACAATATTATATATCTTAATTGTATAATATTAATTCTTTAAAGACTGAATTTAATATAATGAAAACTCAAATAGAAATATTAAATTGTGAATCCAGTTAGTTAAATCTTAGGATTTAAAACAATAGTCCTAAACTTAGTTCTTAATACAATACATTTTATAAAACTTGGATCCTGTGTCAGATCCTAATGCTAAATTGAATCTATTGACAAGTTTATTCAATCAAATTAAATTTGTATTGTTATAATAATAATAATTTGAATTTAGGATCTAATACTAAGTTCAAAAATGTTATTATATTTTCATATAACTTAAGAATCAGTTAGGATTCGATTCTAAAAGACTGATTAACATCTCTAACTCAATTTTACTTATTTTTAAGAGCATATATACATAGAAAATACAACAAGTCCAAACTATCAAACCTATTATTAATATAATCACTAGATACAAACAACTTATAAATGCATATCTTAAACCTAAACTCAAATTTCTTATGCCAACAAACTTAAATAATGATAAGTAGTATAATCTACTTTAGAAGTTTATTACAATATATTTGATATACAGTAGTTATATAAAAAAAAGTTTAATTGTAAAATTGAACTTTTATTTTTTAGTTTTTTTGAGTAACAAATCTACATTTTAGCAAACAATATTAAACTGTCTATTGTATATATGCATATAAAATACAACATTGCTATTTAATATTAACTATAAACAGAGGCATTTATAATTTACACAAATTAAGCATCTTATCTAATTAGTAAATATAAAATCTACTCTAATTACATATATATTTGAAACATTTTGTTACAGCAGTATTAATATTAAACTTATTTATTTAAGCAAATCTGTGTGTTATGACTCCTCAGATTGCAAATTTCACATTTTCGTTTAATACTAGTTTCTTCAAAGTTATCTTATTTTGAATCATCATTATCTGAATTATTATCTTTTGAATCATCTTCTGAATTATCTAATTCAGCTAAACCTAAATACATGTATGCATTATAACTCTTTGAGTTACAATTCTATATTTTTTTACACTTTTTTTTTCATATTACTACCTTCTTTTATATTATTAACCAAAATTATCAAATTTTAATAAACTACACAATGCAGATAACAATTCTAATAATATATATCTTTATAATTAACATTGTTATCATTATCTGATTTATTATATTCAACTTAGAAAATCTGCTTTTTTTTATTTTTACTTTTTAATATATTTGTATTATTATTGAAGTTTTTAATTCTTTTTAACTTTTTGACTTTTGTTCTAACACTCATAGAATTGCTTATAGTATAGGCAAATTTTTTTGAATCATTATGCTCAATTTCATTATTCTTCTTTATAAGTTTAAGCTTCATTTCTTTGGTAAAATTTTCATGAATCTTATAGAGCTCTTTAGTTCTATTCATCTTAATTGCCAAGTTAAGTGTTTTTTTTATTATACCAAATTCTTTTCCTTATTAAAATCTATACATTATTTCATTATAAACTAATTTGCTAAAAATATGCTTTTTACAAATATATTCTAAATATGAAAAATTAACATGCAAATTATATTTACATATATTCAATTGGCTATTCAAGTCTGTTACAATTGCTGGTTTAAGTAATACATATTGAGACATTAACTAATGTGTCTAAGTACCATCATTGTAGTATAAGCTCAATATGAAATTTTATAGTTTTTGAACAAGCATTACTAAAAAAATATGCCTATACACAAGACTATAATTTATCAATATTAAACATATACAAAGGTGTATATTATTATTATAAATTACAATAAAGTGTATGCTTTTTTGATCAATTAAAGAAATATGCCAAAATTCATAAATTTTTGTTTCATCAAGGCTGTTAATTAATTGTTTTTTCTTTTTAATTTCTGCTTTACTGTTTTTTTCTATCATGTGTTTGATCCATATTTCTGCAGTTATT